ATGAGGAAGATAAGGCAGGACAAGAGTATGATATAAGTATATCAATTATGTTTGTGTGTTAAAAAGTGTTATGGATATATATGATGTTACATTATATATATAGACATGCTTGATATTTGATATATGAATATATTTTATTAATTGGAGCGTTGCAATGGTTATAAAACATATTAATATCTTGGAAAACCTCTAAATAAATATTATAAAATATATTCCCAAATTTTTGAATTTTAATAATATGAAATAATACTATATATATTGATAAAAAAGATAATTAAAATATTATATAGGAACATACATACATATATAATATTTTACACGTTCATTTAAAGTATTATATATATATTTATACTTATATTAGGTGGAAAACATATTCATATTAAAGTGCATCTATTGGTATTTTTAAAATATCAAACTTTGATATTTATAGCTGATCTTATTTTAAAAATTAATTTTTTAGTATTTGCATGTTTCATATAATTGCAGCACGTTACGTTAAGCGTAACAGCGTAATAAATGTACTCTTCCTTTCTCTCTCGCTCTCTCTATCTCTCTCTCACTTTATCACTCGCTCTCAAGTATCGCAGCCAAATGCGACTATGTACTAATCAAAGCTTGCGTCGTATCTAATCCTCTCTATAACGGTTGTTAACTACGTAATATGTTTGTCAATTTTCAACGTAATCACGTGCAACGTAATCCCACGTAAGGTGCTATCTAATGTCACGTAAGCTCTTTTATCACATTTAGTGCAGTGCCTGTAAACCTGCCATTCCTCCTCCTCCTCCTCCGTCTTCCCTCCCCCTCCATTCCTCATCAGCTACGAAGTGCATTTGCTTAACACATTGCCAAGAGCTGCACGCAGTTTGTTTCTCTTCCAGCAGCAGCAGTTGAGGCATCCTTCTGGCTACCATACACACACACACACACACACACACACACACACATACACACACTTACACACATTCGTGCATAATCAAATTCAATTGCTCATTCAAAACATTAAACTGTTTATTTTTGGATGGGCGTTCGACGCTGTCTTTGGAGGCATCGCTCCGTCTCCCTTCCACTCGCGTGGGTGGGTGTGTCGGCTCAAGTGGCAAAGGCACTTCATCATGCCGCCTAATCATTTGACCCACTTGAGAGTTGTGCAAATACTTTTTACGTAGTTGCCACCCCGTCGAAAAACGCCCACGCGCTCCACTGTCTGGCATGCAATCAGACAGAGCGAGACAGAGTGTGTGTGTGTGGTGGGAGGGAAAGGGAGAGGGAGAGGGAGTGGTACACACACACACACACACACACACATGAGCCTGGATCTAATCCTTTCAACAGTCGACTCCCAGTCGTGAAGCAGTTTTGCATGCATGCAGCAATCATGGTGCCGAGAGACAAGAAGAAGAGTTAGAGAGACGTGGATTCGCCCGGCTGACTGGCTGGCTGGCAGTGAAGGCAAGGAATTTCGAAAATCTCAGCTCAGTGTCAGGTTGCACGTTGAAAATTTGTCGTCATCGTGTCTCGCACACAAAAATGGCGTTAAGCATAGAATTTTGCCAAGCAGCTAAAGCAAAGAAACAAGAGGCGACATGGCGAGTGACAGTGAGTGGGAGCGAGACGGTGTGAGAGAGCGAGGAGGGGGCGATAGAGTGAGAGCTAGAGCGTGCGAGAGTGAGCGGGCCTGGAGTGGGGGCAAGGCAGCTGGGCAGAGGCAAAGACAAACACATCGCCTTGGCTGCGGCTCAAGGATAAGGCGTAAAATAATAAATTATATTTGCGTGATTTGTGTTTAGTTGTTGTTCTTCTCTCGTTGTCGTTGTTGTTGTTGTTGTTGCATATATTTTGTAATGCTTCAAATGTTGTGCATAAATTCTTCTTCTTCAGTTTTTAAAAATTTAACTTGCGTCGCGTCCTTGGCTTATGTTTTGCTTTGTTGTTGCCGCTGTCGACGCCGACTACGCCGCCGACGCTTGATTAGCAAGAGAGCGCGCAAAGCTTTCTCTTTACTGCCCGCACTCACTGGAAGGCTGCGCAGAGAGTGCCAACAGTGGACCGTTCATTTAAGAGAGTGAAAGCACGCGCTCTTAGCTTGCGCAGTGTTGTCAGCTAATTTCGAAATGTGCAATGCATTCCATTTGGAATCAGACTTTTGCCAAGTCACTTGTGTCACAGGCACCTTAAATGCGACTACAATATTTCTCACACACTTAACGCATGACTGCACACACACACACGCACGCACACACGCCGCACACGAATCAAAGCAGCATTAGTTGCGCTTTTGCTGCTTGAATGGGGCGAAGGGTCAACTTCGGTTGAGAGTTTGCAAAAACATAAACAAAACGCAACAATTTATTCGCAGCACTTTTAATCAGGCAATTCAATTTCCATTGAGCTCAGCTCATCAGTCTACAGCATCCAGCAGTATCGCCCTTTGGTCTAACAAATTGTGCTAGCTCATCGCCTGCAACCCATTAAAGCTAGAGCGCTTAAGTCCGCGTTGCCCCTTCAGGGTTGCATTTGCTTTAGCCGGCGGATTAACGTGAGTTACAAAATTACACAAAAAAAAAAAAAAAAATAAAATGAAAAGGAAAGCAACAACAATTGCTTATGGATTGTCAAGCAGATGCAGCGCAGCTACCCCAGGCAGAGAAATCCAACCACCCAAACTCAAGCCAAGCCAAAAACAATGCAACCGCAACAGCAACACTAACAACGCAACAACTGTGTGTCTGTGTGTGTGAGTGTGTACTGCGTTTGCTGGTGTGTGTGCAATGCCAATGACATTTTTGTCCCATTCCACTCTCCTTGCTCCGCTCATTTTTCACATATTTTTGCCAAACTATTTTTGGAAGCATGTACATGAGGAATGACTCCTCCTGCTCTCTCCCTTTCTCTTCTTTTGTTGTTGCTGGCACTCGAAACCGTTAATTGGGTTTTATTTTTAATGATGTTTAGGCGCGACAGAAATGCGTTTCGAAGCCCACGCTGAGCATTCCTCTTCTTCTTCAACTTCTCCTATTTGGCATCTGCAAGCAGAGAACTAACAGTTATTTATTTAAAATTCGAAGGGTGTTTTCCATGATTAATGTTCCACACTCTCAGTCGGGCATGGAGTTTGTTTTACTTTTGCAGCTAGTGTGAAAAACAATTCAGCAGCTAATTGAGCAAGTGACGATGGAGACAAAAATGTCTATTAATAGAATATGTATGTATGTATGTATGTATGTATGTGTGTATGTATGTGTGTGTGTGTGACTGTGTGTATGTATATAGAGTGATTTAAAATGCGGATAATAGATAGCTAGTTAATAAAGTGCGGGTCTTAATGGTTTCACAATTAAGTTTAACGGCTCAAAATTTGTGTGAGTATTAAGAGAGAGTAGGTGCATACACATACAAATACATATACTTGTACATTATATATCTATTTATACAAGTATTTGTATATATTTAGTTTAACTCAAAGATCAACATCAATATTTGTAGACAAATTCCAACTGGGCAGAGAAATTAAAATCCCTTGCTGTACTATTCCCCTAATGCACATTACGCCAAACTCACCTGCACAACAGGTGTGTACTTGTCGTAGGGTCAGCTAAGCCAACGCAGGCAGCAGCTACTGTAAACGCATTGAACGTGAAGCAAAACAAATACTTCCATTAAATTTACCTTTTGCACACCTACACGCGGCCTCAGTCGACGTTGATCTCTAATTTATTATCAATGCAGTTGCAGTCGGCAGCAGCAGCGACGCTGGCAGCGGCAGAGTCAGATGACACTGCAAATGCCGACAAAGGCGTGCAAGAACGAAAACAAAAACAAAAACCGGCTAATAGCAGACGAAATGCAAAGAGTGCGCCAGCTGGCAAACGAAACACAGAGATTTCAGCAGAGAGACATAGCGCGATAGAGAGAGAGCCAACGCGAGCACGACAAGGGAAGCGAAACAATTGGAAATGAAAAGGAACTAAGGAAAGTGCTTGCGCTCACTGGAAACAGCACATTCGTTGTTATGCTAGGCAGCATTATGTTTCGTTAGCTACCATCCGTTCCGTCCTGTTGGTACGTTAGTTTGCGAGCGTTTGTCGTCAGCATCGGACGTGTGTCGTGTGCGATTCGAATTGATACGTTGAATTCTTACGCGAAAAACGGAGTACAATCGTAAGCGCGTTGTAATTTTTTGGCGAATCATTTCCGTGTGCCAGCTCTAAATTAAATGCGCGACAAAGAAGCAGCAGAAATCAAAATATAATATTTAAGCTGACGAGCTGAGCGTTGCAATTTTTGGCGCCGCGCGCGAAAAACTCATTAAAAAGTTCGACGCTTGACATGTTAAATATGCACAATAAACACGCGGCACAACAAGGCAAACATAATTAATTGCCAACGCTCGTTTCAGTAGCTCTGTCTCTGTCTCTCTCCCTCTCTCTTACTCTGTCCTTCTTTCGTCTTGTTTACTTCTGTGCCCGTCTGTGTTTGTGTGTAAGTGCGCCAGTATCATTGTGTGTGTGTGTGTGTGTGTTATTTAAAAATCAAAATTAATTGCATTTCAAGCATATTTAAATACGCATAAACGCTGAAGAGCTCAACGGGAGTTTGCGGTTTCAATTGTGAGTAAATAGCGAACAACAACAACTGAAACGCCAAACAACGACAACAACAACAACAACTGTCGCCGCTGCTGCTACTGCTTGTTGTGCGCGCAATTTCCGGTTTCCGTTTCCTCTACGCGACGTTCGCGAAGTTCTAAAAAAGAAAGAAAAAAACGTTGCTGCCCACCAAATTTGTCAACAGCAGCAATAACAGCAACAGCAGCAAAACAAAAAAAAGTGTTAAATAGCAGTAAAGTTCTCCAGTGTTGCCTGACCAAGCAAAGGCCTGGAGCTATTTCGCCTGCAGCTGCAGCGTTGCCAATTCCAATTTGAAAATTCAAAATAATTGCCGAAAAAGTAAAAAAAAAAAATTATTAATTTACAATAGCAACAGCTGATTGCTTACTGTTAAAAAATATATTTAAAAAATAAATAAAATAAAAAGCGCTGCCCACTTGGCGGCTGCTACTTTCGTTTTCTCCGTAACAACAACAAATTCAACACGGTGGACACCGAACTGGCTCAAAGGAACAACAACAAATTGAAACAGGTTGGTGGAGCTGGAACTTCTATTTCACAAATGTCTTTGCTCTTGAGTTTATTGTTCAGGGCCCAGCAGCAACAGCAAATATATATATATGCTAGACGTTCAGATAACACTTAAAAGCATAAATTACACGATAGGAAGATACTTCTTAATGGGAAAAATGTATTTATACTTTTTATTATATATCTATTTTTTTTTAAATAATAATAATATAATAATAATATAAATAATAATATAAATAATGTAATTTAAACAGTCTGTCTATGTATTTGTATACTCTAAAATATATTCTAAAATAATTTAAACACAAACATAATTTTATTTTGTATGTATGATTTGTATTAAAGGGTAAAAATAATAAATAAATAAATAAATAATATTTTTGCACTCTCAAATACGTTCCACAAAAATTAAAAAAAAATTCAAAAAGTCTTTACTAAAAAGAAAATACATAGATCAAGAAAATAATATTATTTATTTTTTAAAACTTACACATATGAAAAACAAAATAAAGTAAAATGAATAAGAAGATAAAGTAAATTTATTACTGAAATAAAATTGTAAATAGTTTTTGTAAATTTAATTTCAGTACAAATGAATACTAATTTTTTTCTTTTTTTTTAATGAAATTTTAGATAAGTATATTATTGGTTATTTATTTATTATTATTTTTTTTTTTTTTTTTTTTTTTTTTTTTAAGTGTTTATAATATAACTATATATATACTTTTAATGCTGTTTGGACGTGAACAATCTGATAACATATTTAAATATTAATTCCTTAACATATACAAATATGTAAGATTTGCATGATTTAATGTATATCATCCCACCTGCCCCTGCTCTATAGGGTATACGCAAATGGTGGCGTGTAAGGACAAGCAATAAAATGCGCGCCAAAAAGCAGGCAACAAAAGGCGAAACGCAAAGGTGCGAGAGCGCCGCCAGTGACTGTGAGGGGGGCGAGCGGGGGGTTGTGCAGTGCAGGTGCGAAATGTTTATGTGGCACATAAAACTAGCGCGCACCGTGTCGCATTGTTGTTGGTTTTCCCCAGCTGGGAGTAGGATTGCTGCTCGACGTTGCGACGCGTCGCGCTAGGGTTGCCATTTTTATTTTATGAACTTTTATTATGTTTATTTGCTCTGGCTCTTGTTGTTTTTATTTTTGCATTTGCTTTTTATACTCCAGCGCCCAGCTGCCTGCTTGGCTGCTGTAAACAATAATCATAATAATCGTAATCACAGTCGCAGCCCACGTCGGCGTCGTCGTCGTCGTCGTCGTCGTCGCCGGCAGAGCAGCAAGTGCGAGCTTTGATTGACGGGGGAGTATCCTGTAAATATCTTTAAATTTGGGGAATGCAAAAATAAATTAAATTGGAGTTATTTTAGATTATTTAATAAATTGAAAGCATTTGAAGCAAACAATCTTTGTAGGAAAATTGACAATATGTAAAGATTTCTGGAATTTAAAGGAGGAATTCTAAATTAGAAATAGAAGAAAAAAGAGAAAACCCATCATTTGTAATTTATATTAAAAAATCACTTGAAAGTTTGTAGAATAATCTCAAGAAAAATGGAAAAGGAAAGGAGTAAATAGAAATGTATTCAAGAAAATCATTTTATAAAAAAAATAAATAAACAGAAAATATTCTATAAATATTCTATTTGCACATTTTGTAGTATATGCATTTTTTTTTTTTTTTTATTTAGAATGAAATTGTATTACAATTTAATGATTTTATAATGATTACTTAAATACTTCAATATACAACAATAATGAAAAGTATATAATTTCGTTTCTTTTTCTATAATTTATTTTATTTATTTCAGCCTTTTTTAGTGGAAAGCATATTAAATGATTTATTTCACTTATGTTTATGATAACAAATTTACTTATAATATGATTTCATTATATCTTTTAAAAAATAAAACTATTATTGTTTGTATTATATATATATATTTTTTTAAATTTTAATATTAATGAAGGTGTAAATTCACTCTATATATATTTATTTTTATATGATTTTATAATATTAAAAAAAATGATTATTATTATATTTTTAAATAAAATAAATATTTTAAAATAATACTAAAGAAAAAGTAATGAAATTATATTTTGTATTATTATGATTTTATTATATATTAAAAACTTTAATTATTAGTTTTAAATATGCATATTTTTTTTAAAATATTTAAATATTTTGTTAAATTATATATAGAAATTTAGATTATCTTCCAAGAGAATAGTCATGCAAAGTTTTCTTTATAGTGCCCTTCGTCTCTTACATACCCTCACGTACCCACATCATACCCACTTTAATTGCACTTGTCTGTGTAGAGGGTATGAAGAGCGGGCAATGGGACTAAAGCGACGCGTGTTTTAGGCACTTCGTGTTGCTTGTTTTTAGACGCTTTCGCACGTTTGTTCGCACCTAGTCAAGCGCTCACACAATAGGCAGGCACACACGCACACACGCACACACACACACACGCTGGTGTTGTATGCCTTGTACTAAATTGCGCACAATTGAAAGCATACTTTCGGCCGGCTGCGAGCATTTAGTGTGCACTTCTTGGCCAACGCGCACGCTAACAGAATTTGAATGCAAATGTCGCCTGAGCCATCATCTACTCAGCCTCTGGCCTCTGCCCCTCGCAGCTCCATTGCTTTATTTATCGCACTTTCCTGTTGGCTCTCTCACTCTTCTCAACTGTGGCATTCTTTTTGGGCGCGCACCCCAGAGACATTTGCCTGCGCTGTCGTTGTTTTTGTTTGTCATTTTCTTCTTCTTCTTCTTAAAAAAAGGTTGTATTTTTTATTTATTCAACATTACATTAAGCTAACCTTTCATTTCGAGTTAACAATATAATATTCAGTTATTGTTTGCCTGAATTATATTTTGAATGAAAATGAATTCCTGGGAAATAAATTCATAATTTTTTATAGTGATTTACAATTACATATAAGAGTCATTTTTTTGTGGAATTTAAATAAATGGTCTAAGCTTCTTAAATTGCAGCTATAGGTATGGAAAGTTTATCTCTTTTTTATGATAAAAAAATATATATTTATACTAAATATCTAAGTTTAAATATGATTTTTGAATTAGGTTCAAAAGGAATGTTGTCTATAAAAAGTTTTAAAGTACTTTTTAAAAAGTTGTATAAAAAAGAATTTTGTAAAATAAAATATATTTGTATTTTACGTAATAGGTCAGATAATACTGAAAGAGACAATATTATTTATATATGTTATTTAATATTGTATAATATATAGCATCAAGTGCTGATAAAAATTCTTCATTTGGTTTAATGAAATAATTATTAATAAATGAAATTGAATTTAAAGTTGAAGTTCGCTAGAATCTCTTAAATATTATATAAATGTAATTAAAAAATGATAATTTATCAGTCTGAAAAAATAGCAGAAATTTAAATTCAAAACAACTTCAGCCTTCTATTTGAATAAATATTCTGCTATTTAATAAAATTTAAATTCTTTGGCAATTCTATTTATAGACATTTATAATTGCATATTTGCTTCATTACAAACGCTTTCACTTTGAAATGTTGCTAATGATTTGCCATTTTGATGAGGCCATCAAAATTCCTCGGCAGCTAATTGAACCTAATACGCTAAATCAATAATATTAAGACAGGAGGTCAAACAATGCATGTCTGCGCGCCGCTGAGTGCTTGAGTGTATACACATGTATGTGTGTATGTGTGCGTGTGTGGGTATTTGTGTGTGGCTGCTGAGGCATAATTTCATTAGATTGGCCCTGGCCATAAGGCTTATCGACTACGTGGCTTAATTAGATTAATGAAAAATAGGCTTAGCCATGGCCAGCGAACGAAAGTGGCTTAAAGCCATTGTGTTTAAGCCAAATAATGAATACACTCACGCATTTCACTTCAACTTGTGGAAGATAACTTAAGGTTTTCCCTGGAAAATTGCAGGAAATTTTGGAGAATTGAATTCGAGCATAGCCGCAAAAGTCTTCAAGTCTTCATTATGCAACGCTCGGCTGCCATTTGGCAGTCTCTAATAAGGGAAGCAGCCAAAGCCAAAGGAAACTTATGGCCAAACATTTTTGGGCTGGCCAACAAATTTGTCGAACTGTTTAAAACTGAACGCTGTCCGTGACACACAACAAATTCAACGTTCATGAGAATGGAATTTCCGTTTTTGTTGTTGTTGTTGTTGTAATATCCAGTCCCCAGTACATAAGACTCGAGGCTCCAGGCTCGTAGCTTCGAGTTCCATGTTCCATTGCTGCAAGCATTTTATGTTTTCAAATTAATTTTAAACAATTTTCTTCATTTTCCTTTTATTTGGTTTTTTCTTCTTTTTTCGTTTTCGTTTTCTATGCCCCGCTTGGCTTTTCGCTGGCCAAGTTTTGCGCGAGTCCGAGTTTTTGACATAATCTATTATAAGCGCTTATAATAATTTCAGCGTCAAGTTTTCTCTTAGTCTTGTGGGGTGGGGACCAATTGGCTGGCTGGGGGCTGCTTTTAATTGTAGGCGTGGCCCAGACTTAATGAGACCAGTTTTGAAATGTGCGCCAGGGGTGTGATTTCCTGGTGGGCAAATGCCAACAGAACAGAATTTAATTAATATTTATGCATGTATTCCAAACGCGTTTGCTGCCCAAATCAAGCCAAGCCGAAGAGAAGAAAGTGTTGCCAAAGGTCTGCTAAAAGTGTTGGGCAATTTGCGAATATACTTGCTCAAATGTAGCAGCATTAATAAATCACGATAAAATTCACAAAAGTTACCTTCGAAATCACTGTGGCTGCCACTTGCGGTTCTTTTTACACACGCACACACACACACATAGTAGGGCCAGCTTATGACAGTGACTTATTGTAGGCGGCTTTTAGGTAGCATTATGAGAGAAAGTGTGTGTGTGTGTGTGTGTGTGTGTGCCCATACATTTAATAAAACAAAAACTTAAGTAACTGTGAGGTCTGTGAAGGCAAAGACTCAGCATTTTGTTACTT